CCTTTGTACGGCTCGGGTTTTTGACACTCTGGCTGTTGCCTGCGACGGCAAGCATTGGCATGGTCCGCGCCCCGGACCTTGGGCTGTGCCTGCAGCCTACCCGCCGGTCCTCTGCCATCGCCTAGCCGGCTGCCTGCTCCAGTGTGCCAAGGCTCGGAATACTGCCCCGGGGCCGCTCTCCCGAACTAAAGAGGCCTCGACTGCTGCCGTGGGCCGCCAAACAAAGCGCCATGCCCCTTTAGTGCCCGAGTACCGCGCCTTTAGGGTAGTCCCGTCGGGTTCTAAGCTTCAGCCCTCCGAGCGCATCCTCTCTGCCACGTGCGCGGGGGGATCAACCGAGGATGGACCCGAAATCTCGGGGAAGCAGTGGAAACTGGGGATATTGCACTCCCCCCCTGAGTTTCTGAATAAGGCCTTAAACTGCCCTCACCCCTTCGATGCCGCCAGACCGTTGTCTAAACACTTTCTGCATGCCCTTGAAGCTGTGATGACGACACCCCCTAAGGTCTTAGAGCTCAAGAGGAAATTGGCGATTGCTAAGGCTGAAATTCTTGTCAAAAAGCTCAGCTGCTCTGAGAAGGCTAGGCACAATGCCCTACCGGATCATATGAAGAAGGTGCTTGAAAGCAAGAATCTTTCTCTCTTCGAGGCGCTCCTCAAGGAACATGCTTACTGGGACATGGGGGTAGTCCAGCTCATGGAACAGGGAGTGGACCTTGTTGGGTTTCAGGACACCCCTTCTTGCTATCCCCAAAAGATTGCTCCTGCCACCATGTCGAGGGACGAGTTCCTTGACTCCGCCGAATGGAGGCGGCGGGCTCTCACAACACCCGGCGCCAGGGCTCCGGATGCAGGGCAGCTCGCCCACCTTGAGCAGACATGCAAGGAAGAGGTAGACCTTGGGTTCATGCTGGGACCCTACACGGAGGATCAAGTGTCCCGGCTGTTCGGCCACACTCGCTGGTCGTGCATCCGGCGGTTCGTCTTGGAGCAGAAGCCAGGGAAACTTCGGCCCATAGATGACGCAAAGGAAGCCCTTGTGAACAGCGCCAGCACCTCAACGATGCGACTCGAGCTCGAGGACGCCGACTACCTGTCTGCTATGGCTCTCGAGGTTGCCCGACGCATCCTGGCAGACCCTTCCAAACCCGGTGCGGTGCCATGGGTAGCCAGGTGTCTTGACTTGACGAAAGCCTACAAACAGATGTGTGTTTCGGAGCGTGACCTGCCGGTCTCGGTGGTCTTCTTTCTTGATGGACAGGGCAAGCCCAGGTACTACGTGAGCCACTCGCTGTTATTCGGGTGCACATCGTCAGTATTTGCATTCAACAGGGTGTCCAAAGCAATCTCCTTCCTGTTGAACCAAATGTTGCTTGTGCCAAGCTCCGTGTTCTACGAGACTGTTCCTCTCTGCACGAACAACACAAGTGAAAGCGCAACGTGGGCCCACAACCCGCCCACGCTTGATCTTCTGGGCTGGGGTCACGCCCGCGTGGGCAAGGACGCTAAAGGCGTTCCATTTGCGGCAAGCTTCGAGGTCCTTGGGATGTCGATGCAACTTGATGGTGTTCACCGTGGACGCCTGACCCTTCAGAACAAAGCCGGACGTATCGAGCAGCTCGTGGCCTTGTTTCAGGGATTTCTTGACAGGGGTGCCATCACGGTGCACGAGGCACAAGTCGCCCATGGACTCTTGAACTTCTCTGCAGGCTATGTGAATGGTCGGGCCTTACGCTTAACATGCCAGGAGCTCCTTCGCTTGACAAAGGCTTCGAGCCCCGCCTCTTCGAAGGCGATCCGCAGCTTCTGCGTCAACAGCATTGAAGCCCTCCGTGCACTTAGCCCTCGCGTGCTCAGTGTGTGGGACAGCCGTGCCCCGATACACATCTTCACGGACGGTGCGTGGGAGCAGCGCCGAGCCGGAATCGGTGCCGTCATCTTTGACACAGCTTCCGGCAAGTCGTGGACTTATGAGGGTCTCGTCCCAGAGCCGCTCATCCTCCGATGGGAGGCCGAGGTCGGGACTCAGCTCATTTGCCAGATCGAGTTGTACGCGGTGGTATGCCTGAGGTGGGCCCTGGCTTCCACCTTTGACCACAGGCGCTTGATTTGGTGGATCGATAACGAATCGGCACGATATGGTCTGATCAAAGGCATTTCGGATAGTCCTTCGATGTCATCCTTGATTCAGTCTTTGCGATTGCAAGACTCCAGAACCATTCGTACAGTTGGGGGTACGAAAGGGTTCCCTCTTCTCTAACATCGCAGATGGACCGAGCAGGGGTGGATTCATCAGAGGCCCTGGGACGTCTGCCACCGACAAGGGGAAACGGACTACCAGTTGACCAAAGCCTATACCCGGGGGCTCTTTTCTTCTGATTGCGTCGCTCACCAGCTCCGCACTCGGGGCAACTAGCCATTCGACGGGGGGATGTTGTTGGGCCCCGTAGATCTCGGGGCCTTGTGCGAGGTTCGGTGGCAACCGGGATCGTTTCCACGAATTCCCCGATAGGCTTATGCAGCCAAAAGTGTCCGTGAGAGTGCGATTATTTTTTTTGTGTACTTGTTTCACATCTGTTTTTTTTTAATGAGGTTATGTGTAGCGAAATTGGCTCACAGTATTAGTTGTGCTTGCTGGCGGTTTTTTCGAATTGCGTTTAGCCGACATATGCGTTCCACGGCAATAGGTTTGCAACAGTTGCGAACTTTCTTTGTTTCATGTCACATACAAGCAGGACAGTAGTAGAGTACATCACGTTTTCTTCGCTTTGTAGGACTCCTCGTGCCGGGGGGGGGGAGCGGGCACCCCCACAAGTGGGGTGAATGGCTTGATCGTTCCGGGCTCTCAGAAGTCCTCGTGCCTGCTCCTTTCAGTGGGGGTGCATGGAAGCTTCCACTCAGACACCAGATATCTTTGATCTTGCAGAGCGTGTGTTTGCACTTGAAGTCAGCCGAGCCGGGCACTCTAATCATCTTTCGCAGGTTCAAACGTGGTTGAATAGGCTTGAGAATCGCTTGCAAGCTGTGGAGCGCGACATTGCTCTTATCATTGGCTTGCAGCGCAGCATCCGGCAATTGCGTAGAGCTAACCTTCTGCTTTTGCGTGCACTTCAAGAGAGCCGCCGTAACTACGCATCTCTGGCGCGTCGGGTGGCACTTCTGGAGGTGGCAGGTTTGTGATAGTCATGAAGCGGCCTTTAGACCCTGACGATAGGAGACAGCCGTGTGCCACAGATGCCAGCATTGCTTGCAAAGCTTCTCTGACTGTCAGCGCAAAACCCAAAGCTGCCCTTGCATCTCTTCCGCTTCAAGTGCCCCTTCCCAAACCGGGTAGGAAAGCTCCAGCTCTGCCATTGAAAGGTTTGGAAGCGGTGCCTGATCGGGCTTCATCTGTTCAGCCGGAGCCTATGCCGGCCGGGCACCCGTTGTCGGTGCCTTCAATGCAAAGCATGGATTTTGGCACTTCGGCGAGTTCGGATGCACTCTCGAGCTTGGCTCTTCCAACTCCGGGTTCCTCTAGGCTTAAGCCCTCTGTAATGCCTTCCGAACGCCCCAACAACCCAAAAATCAGTGAAAATGCCTCTCGCAGCAAAGTGGCACGTGCAGCTTTTATGGCATTATTTTCTGTTCTTGGCAACTTGAGCGCTCTGGGTGCATCTTTGCAAGAAAGCAGTCAGGACCACGTGGGTCGCATCCTTCAGATGTTTGTAGCAGCCACCGTCATACGGTACAGCTCAGCCTTCAGATCCCTTGCAGACACCATTTTGGATTTGGGATTTGCTTTGGAAACATTGACATCGGTCCAGCTTGCAGATGCTCTTGTCGTCTTAAGCTTAGCGCGCAGCAGTGACCCGGAGTCGGGAACACACTCAGCGACCGCAATCAAGGCCATCCGGTGGGTTAAACGTATTTTCGAAGTCGCATGCTTTGATGTCGCGTACTCACCCTTGATTGGCAGTTTCCTGAAATCCAAGATTCCCCGTGAACGTAAAGAGGCGGTGCCCTTGTCTCTTTATGTCGTCACACAGTTTGAGCGACGCTTGCTGATGCAAGAAGCTACGGATGCCGAGGTCCTCATCCTTGGGGGGTTCTTAATCTTGATTTGGGGTTCCATTAGGTTTATGGACGGACAAAGAGTTCACTGGCGATCCCTGTCCTATGACGGCTCTACACTGAGGGGCTCGTGCTATCAAACAAAAACAACATCCCAAGGACAACCATTTGGGGTCATTTGCCAAGGACTGCTTAGTCATGGATCCTTCACATGGGTGCATAGATTTCTTCGGACTTTGGACAAGGTGGCGTGCATGCATTGCAGCCTTCACCCGGGCCATCCCTTGCCTTCGAGTCTCCTTTTATCGATTGGAGCCACAGGGGTCCCTGTTTACCCTTTGCAGGCCATGGGATACGCGGCTGCACTTAGGCACCTTAGGTATGCAATTTCACTCCCGTGGAAAAAACATAAGACCCCCGTCCCTCACGAAGTCCAACTTAATTACACAGTGCACTCCCTGAAAACCACCCTCCTTTCTTGGATGGGTCAACGTCCTGAGGTTCAGCCAATCGAAAAGCAATGCCAGGGTCATCATAGGCTTAGCTCATCCCAGCTTTATTCGCGTGAAGACATTATTCCGGCGCTGCGAGGTCAGCAGAAGCTGAGATTCGCCATAATCGGCGGAGCCAGGTTCCTTACCCCGCTCCACAGAGGCTCTCAGCATCCGTTGGAGGAGCCACCAGTGCAGATTGAGTCGTTCAGCAAGGCAGCAGAAACCACTTCTTTCGAGCACTTTCCACAGTTCGTTATGAAGGAAGGGTTGCATCTTCCTGAGTTCGAGAAAACGTCGGAGTTACCTAAGCCGGTTGACCCAGCACCCTTGTGGGATGTGCAATCATCCGATGAAGAATCATTGGACAGCAGCGGCGACGAGGCACCCAAGCTCCCCGACTTAGGGGATCCTGAAGAATTGGTGCTTGCATCGTGCACAGGCGTGCACCATGCTATGGTTCCCTCCTCAGGAGCCTCTGCGACCACCTATCGTGGTAAGGGCCTGCGACCTGCTTGTGGCGTTCGCTTGTATGCAGACAATATTAACTGGCGCGAGCAGTATTCTCCCGAGATCACATTGTGCAAAAGACGTGCATGCTGCATAATCCTCGGTCGTTGTGGGATCTCGGACTCGTGAGCAATCAAAGCAAAAAAGTGGTCAGGCTCACATTGCAAGGGTCATTCATGCAGTCTCAGCGTCATGTGCATGCACTCTGTCAGTTCACTTGTTCAGCCAGGCACCAGTGAAGTTCCTTTTTCTTTTGGTCTTAGCAGCGGCTCAAATGATTGAGTTTTCTGTGGATCCTTCAGAAATTCCCAACCTTTCAGCGGTTCTTTTTGGTAGCCTCTATGCTCTACTTGCTGCAGGGTCGCTAGGGTCCACAATAGCCTTTTGCTATGGAACTGGCTGAGCTCTTGAAGTCCGAAGGCCTCTCTGACGAGCTTGCCGATCTGGCAGTGGCAACGGGGTGGAAGTCATCCACTTTCAAGCATGCTGTCAGCAAATTGGCGGATTTAGATTCTGTGTTGGGCGAAATCTTTCCGGAGAAAGCTCTGACAGTTCTTCAGAAGGCCACTATTCGATCGGTTTGGAGTAAACTGCAGGAGTCGGAACCCTCGGGTTCTGCAGCCTCTGCATCGCCTCCTGTGCCAGAGTCTCGGGAAGGATCATGGGTGGAATCTTTTGCCCCAAAGATATCAGCATCTTCAATTTCTGAAATGAAACGGAAGTATCTGGTAAACTATCCGTCGGAGATCATCAACTACTCCACTCAGCCGTCAACCAGATTGCTGAGCTTAGCATCGCGCCAGCAGAACAAGAAGGATTGGCGATGGATCCCCTGGAAATATCGAATGACGGAAGAGCGAGCTTCTGAGATAATGATGTCCCGGCCCAACAAGCAACCTCGGCTTGAGGCTATCGGGCTCTCGGGGATGTTATTGGACGAACCTCCGGCTCTGGAAATCCAAGATCATTCCATGGGTGTGAATGCTATTCAGAAGCTTATGAATGTGCATGACGTGGCATTGGCAATGGTGGGAACTGCCCATCTCGCCAGGCTGAAAGGATATACAACAAAATTCATTTCTCTTCTGACTCAGAAATTCGATGCTTCATCAGGACTTCGGCCACCATCAGTCTTAGAAGCACAACAGGCAGATTGCCGCCTGTGGCAGGGCATGATCACCCTGGTCACCGACAAAGGATGGACGATGGATGATGTCCTCTACGAGTTCACAGAGGTGCGGGGCGAGATGGCCAGCCTGCTTCAAGCTCGAGCGCGTCCTCCTCCCGTCCCCAAAGGCTGGGAAGGCAAGGGCAAAGCTGTCAAGGGCTTGGGTAAGATGCTCGTGGAGTCCTATGCCAAAGGCTACGCATCGCAGGCGTCTGTCAAAGGCAAAGGGAAGGACAAAGGCAAGAACAAGGAGGCTAAAGGCGGCTCCAATATCAATTTTGTGAAGTCGATCATGGTGGGGTCTGAGTCCAAGCCATTGTGCGTGAATTGGCAATTGAGCCGTTGCAATCGTGGAAACGCGTGCCCATTCGTGCACGCTTGTGCCTTCCCGAAATCCAATGGGCAAGCTTGTGGAAGCAAGGCGCATACGGCGCTGCAGCACGAGAGTACTCCCCACTGACTTAGCCCCAATCCCGTAGGCATGCCAGGGGTGATTTCTTCGGACCCTCTCCCCTCACTCGTATCACCACAATATTCTTCGGATCACATGTCAGTGTCTTCGCAGAACGAGACAGCGTCACTTAATTTGCATTCCCAGCCGCCAAAGAGACTTCGAATGCAGCAGTCAGGCCCTCAGGCAAGCGGCACAGCTTCCTTCTCAGGCCCGCAGGTGCAAGGCTCTTCGGGTTTCACTCTTGCGTCTGAAATCCCGAGTTTGGGATCGTCTGTACCTCCCAAGATGGGAGTTTCCCCAGGCACTCGAGAGGTGTCGGGATTCAGGTCCGCAGGCTCAGAGGCATCGAACTCCGGCGTGCAGCCGGACGGCGTTTTTGTCGCATCAGCGGGTGCACCATGCATTCATGATTTCGATTCTCTTGCAGCAGCACTGATCGCAGCAGTATGGCCGGAACGTGCGGCCCCAGACCGTGCAGCAGCCTCAACTGCTCGATCGGATTCAGGTTATTGGAATTTCGGAGTTCAGGTTAGCCATAGGAACACTTTATCTAGCGTCACATCAGCCTTGCCAGGACTCTGTAAAGAACTTAACCAATTTCTTCAGCAATGTTTTCCAGGTGAAACGTGGAACTCTTTGTGCGTCAGCAGGAACGTCTTAACAACCCCACACAGGGACTCGGCTAACTTGAAAAATTCCCTCAATCTTTCGGTGAGCGTCGGAAATTTTTCAGGAGGGCG